TATACCACCTCTGTTCTATTGTACTGCTGGGTTTTTGTCTCTTTTTGCAGGTGTATGCGAACTCGATCGAGTCGGTCTACAGAGGACTTGGTCGAGCTAGACACAACGGGTAGAAAGAGGGTTCAGAGGTCACAGAGGGTACAAGAGGAACCTGAGGTGCTTGTTGCTGATACAATGGACGTACCAGAGGGGAATGGAAACCCTTTGGGCAATGGACTCGGTCGAGCTAGGCAAACTCGACCGATTGGTCAAGGAGATGCTCCAAACCGCCACCAACAGAGACAAGGGATTGTTCCACCACCAGTGCAGAACCACAACTTTGAGATCAAGCTGGGAATGATCAACCTTGTCCAGAACAAGATGTTCCATGGATTGCCAAGTGAAGACCCCATTGACCACCTTGATGAGTTTGATAGGCTTTGTGATTTGACAAAGATCAATGGTGTCTCTGAAGATGCCATCAAGCTGAGACTCTTTCCTATGTCTCTAGCTGACAAAGCTCACCAATGGGAGAAGAGCTTGCCCCATGGCACAATCACCACTTGGGATGAATGCAAGAAGGCCTTTCTTGCTAAGTTTTTCTCCACCGGTCGCACAGCCAAGCTTAGAGGAGAGATATCCAGCTTCATCCAGCGAAACAATGAGACATTCGCAGAGGCTTGGGAGAGGTTCAAAGGGCTACACAAGTCAGTGCCCACACCATGGATTCAACAATGAATCACTACTCTCCACTCTTTATAGAGGATGCTTGCCTAGGTATAGGGAGATGCTAGACACAGCTAGCAATGGGAACTTCCTCAACCAGGATGTAGATGATGGCTGGCAACTTGTGGAGAACATAGCTAACTCAAATGGAAGCTATGGAGAAGAGTATGATCGCACCAACCGGAGCTCGACCCACCACTCGATCGAGTCAGACGAAAAGTTGAGAAAAGATGTTAAGGCATTGAATGAGAAGTTGGATAAGCTGATCCTAGCTCAGTCCACAATGAAGAAAGTCAACTTTGTGTCTGCTGAGGAGATGGAACCAGTCCAAGAAGGGGAGGATACACAATTTGCTGAGGTGTGCTACATGAGCAATGGGCAAGGAGGTTACAACAAAGGATACTATAATTACAAGTCCAACCCTGCCATGTCATACCGCAACACTGATGTTGCTAACCCTCAGGACCAAGTATATCCTCAACAACAAGCAGCTCGATCGAGTCAAGGTGCCACAACATGGGTATGGTCAAAAGAACAATTACCAAGGACCACAAGGCACTTTCCCTGGACAACAAATGAATATCCCACCAGGCTTCCCCACCAACCCCCAGCCTGCACCTTCACAAGAGAATGAGCTCAAAGCAATGCTAAAGCAACTACTTCAAGGGCAAGCTGATGGGGTAGTGGACACAAGCAAGAAGCTAGCTGAAATAAACTCAAGATCGAGAACCTCAACACAAGGGTTTACTCTCTGGAGAATCATGCTTCTTCTGTTGCTGCTGCTACAAAGCAAGGACAACTACCTGGTAAAGCTATTCAGAACCCCAAGGAACAGTGCAAGGTCATCTTCACTCAAGAAGGACTTGTTGAAGAAGAGGATCAAGAAAGGGTCATTGAAGATTTTTGTTTACTGCTGAATGATGAAGAGATTGTTGCTGCTGAGGCTCCTGGAGTCCAGATTGATCAACCAGAAGTGCAGGCACCTACTGTGGCCATTCACACTTCACCAGTTGAGCTCGCAACAAGCTCGATCGGCAGCTCGATCGAGTCCAACTCTAGCTCGATCGAGTCCGACCTCTTCTGTCCAAAACCAGTTTTGCTTGATCCTTACCAACCGGTTGCTTCCTCGTCTCGCCTACTTAGTCAAGGTCACAAGGAAGTGATTCACAAGTTCAGAAGAGATCTCAGTGGGATTGGAATTGAGTTGCCTCCTATGGATAGCATGAGTGAGGCATTTGATCAAATGCAAATGGTCAAGGATGTTCTAGCCAACAGTGATAAAGTTTCAGAGGTCCTACAAGAGTCTACTCATCAGTTCAACCTGCTTACTTCACCCACTTCCTACCAAAGGTCAAGGATCAAGGGAAATTCACTCTCCCTTGCACACTTGGGCATCTTGAGATTGACAATGCCTTAGTGGATTCTGGAGCAAGCATCAATCTGATCTCTCTCTCCATGGCAGAGAAGCTAGGCATTGCTGGAGCCTTGCAGCGCCCTACTACTTCAATCATGTTTGGAGATGCAACTTCTAAGTCTCCTCTTGGAGTGTTCAAGAACTATCACTTGAAAATTGGAGAATGCATCATCCAAACTGATCTCACTGTGATGGAAATGGAAGAAGAGAAGGATCTACCTCTGTTATTGGGAACCCCTTTCCTTAGTACAGTTGGCGCTTCAATAGACTTTCACAAGCAAGAAGTGGAGATGCTTTTGACGCGGAGATCACAGATTTTGACGCGGAGGTGGAGATGCTTCGTAAGATCCGAGTAGAGAAGATGGAAGTACTCGTGAAGTGCGACGAGATTGCTTCCAGGTTGTTGAGCGAGCTCGGACTTCCTCCTCTTACACCCGATCCGCCGATCGTTCCGCCTCCTGCGTTCGATCCCGAGTCAGTCGAGAAGGCGGTAGGAAAGATTGGGGTCGCCGATCCGCATGGTTCGAACATCACTGCACCTGTGTCGTCGGATGATACTTCTTTGGGGGTCGAGCAGGTTTCTGGTGAGACTACTGTTGTAGGAGATGGAGCTGGCGAGCCGACTCAGCTCGATCGAGCTGGCTCCTTTGACACCTAAACTTAACTTATTGAAAGGTTAAAAACATAAAATAGATAGAAATTGCATAAATAGAGTATGTACAAGGATAAACATGGGACTTCCTCCCAAGTGAGCTTGTTTAAGGTCCCATAGCTTGACCTTTACCTTCTTAGGCATTGGTTGAGCTAGTCCCACCATCAAGGGTGATAGTGAGGACTTGAGACAGAAGCTCCTTTAGCTTGGTTGGGTCCCTGGATTGTTCTGAAGTGACCAAGGCCTTGGCTCTAGAGAATGGCCTTGATCTCCCCTTGTACCTTATCTTGTACTCCTTGACTGAAGGGGCCTGAGCTGGTGGATCCTTTCTTTTATCACCTGGTCTTGCCTTAGAGGCTACATCCTCCCCTTCTTTTAGAGCCCTTCCTAGTGGCTCATCAAACAAAGCTTGAAGGCTCTCTTCATCAAGCACACAAGGGGCTTGAACAAGTCTATCAGCTCGTGGCCTATCAGATCGTGGTTTCTCAACTCTAGCCCTCTCAAGACGTGGCTTCTCAATCCTTGGTCCTCTCTCATCCTTATCCTTCCCAACTCTTGGTTCTTTGTCAACCCTTTCCTTCACAACCTTTGTAGCTCCATGACTCTTAGAACTGAGAGTGGTACTGTCAATTGTGGCACAAAAGTCTGAACCTCTAGGCTGCAAGCGATATGACACCAAACTATTCACCTTGTGAAGGATCACTTCTTGCTTGTGAAAGTCTATTGAAGCGCCAACTGTACTAAGGAATGGGGTTCCCAATAACAGAGGTAGATCCTTCTCTTCTTCCATTCCATCACAGTGAGATCAGTTTGGATGATGCATTCTCCAATTTTCAAGTGATAGTTCTTGAACACTCCAAGAGGAGACTTAGAAGTTGCATCTCCAAACATGATTGAAGTAGTAGGGCGCTGCAAGGCTCCAGCAATGCCTAGCTTCTCTGCCATGGAGAGAGAGATCAGATTGATGCTTGCTCCAGAATCCACTAAGGCATTGTCAATCTCAAGATGCCCAAGTGTGCAAGGGAGAGTGAATTTCCCTTGATCCTTGACCTTTGGTAGGAAGGTGGGTGAAGTAAGCAGGTTGAACTGATGAGTAGACTCTTCAGGACCTCTGAAACTTTATCACTGTTGGCATAACATCCTTGACCATTTGCATTTGATCAAATGCCTCACTCATGCTATCCATAGAGGCAACTCAATTCCAATCCCACTGAGATCTCTTCTGAACTTGTGAATCACTTCCTTGTGACCTTGACTAAGTAGGCGAGACGAGGAAGCGGCAACCGGTTGGTAAGGATCAAGCAAAATGGCTTTGGCAGAAGAGGTCGGACTCGATCGAGCTAGAGTTGGACTCGATCGAGCTGCCGATCGAGCTTGTTGTGCGAGCTCAACTGGTGAAGTGTGAATGGCCACAGTAGGTGCATGCACTTCTGGTTGATCAATCTGGACTCCAGGAGCCTCAGCAGCAACAATCTCTTCATCATTCAGCAGTAAACAAAAATCTTCAATGACCCTTTCTTGATCCTCTTCTTCAACAAGTCCTTCTTGAGTGAAGATGACCTTGCACTGTTCCTTGGGGTTCTGAATAGCTTTACCAGGTAGTTGTCCTTGCTTTGTAGCAGCAGCAACAGAAGAAGCATGATTCTCCAGAGAGTAAACCCTTGTGTTGAGGTTCTCGATCTTAGAGTTTATTTCAGCTAGCTTCTTGCTTGTGTCCACTACCCCATCAGCTTGCCCTTGAAGTAGTTGCTTTAGCATTGCCTTGAGCTCATTCTCTTGTGAAGGTGCAGGCTGGGGCGGTTGGTGGGGAAGCCTGGTGGGATATTCATTTGTTGTCCAGGGAAAGTGCCTTGTGGTCCTTGGTAATTGTTCTTTTGACCATACCCATGTTGTGGCTTGACTCGATCGAGCTGCTTGTTGTTGAGGATATACTTGGTCCTGAGGGTTAGCAACATCAGTGTTGCGGTATGACATGGCAGGGTTGGACTTGTAATTATAGTATCCTTTGTTGTAACCTCCTTGCCCATTGCTCATGTAGCACACCTCAGCAAATTGTGTATCCTCCCCTTCTTGGACTGGTTCCATCTCCTCAGCAGACACAAAGTTGACTTTCTTCATTGTGGACTGAGCTAGGATCAGCTTATCCAACTTCTCATTCAATGCCTTAACATCTTTTCTCAACTTTTCGTCTGACTCGATCGAGTGGTGGGTCGAGCTCCGGTTGGTGCGATCATACTCTTCTCCATAGCTTCCATTTGAGTTAGCTATGTTCTCCACAAGTTGCCAGCCATCATCTACATCCTGGTTGAGGAAGTTCCCATTGCTAGCTGTGTCTAGCATCTCCCTATACCTAGGCAAGCATCCTCTATAAAGAGTGGAGAGTAGTGATTCATTGTTGAATCCATGGTGTGGGCACTGACTTGTGTAGCCTTTGAACCTCTCCCAAGCCTCTGCGAATGTCTCATTGTTTCGCTGGATGAAGCTGGATATCTCTCCTCTAAGCTTGGCTGTGCGACCGGTGGAGAAAAACTTAGCAAGAAAGGCCTTCTTGCATTCATCCCAAGTGGTGATTGTGCCATGGGGCAAGCTCTTCTCCCATTGGTGAGCTTTGTCAGCTAGAGACATAGGAAAGAGTCTCAGCTTGATGGCATCTTCAGAGACACCATTGATCTTTGTCAAATCACAAAGCCTATCAAACTCATCAAGGTGGTCAATGGGGTCTTCACTTGGCAATCCATGGAACATCTTGTTCTGGACAAGGTTGATCATTCCCAGCTTGATCTCAAAGTTGTGGTTCTGCACTGGTGGTGGAACAATCCCTTGTCTCTGTTGGTGGCGGTTTGGAGCATCTCCTTGACCAATCGGTCGAGTTTGCCTAGCTCGACCGAGTCCATTCCCAAAGGGTTTCCATTCCCCTCTGGTACATCCATTGTATCAGCAACAAGCACCTCAGGTTCCTCTTGTACCCTCTGTGACCTCTGAACCCTCTTTCTACCCGTTGTAAAGTCTAGCTCGACCAAGTCTTCTGTAGACCGACTCGATCGAGTTCGCATACACCTGCAAAAAGAGACAAAAACCCAGCAGTACAATAGAACAGGGGTGGTATAGCTTGATCGTCCAAGTGTGTTTGAAACTCAAATGCAACAAAAATATTCCCAAATCGGCAACGGCGCCAAATTGATGATAGGATTTGTGTGTGGATGTGAAAGATATGAAATGAGATGTGTGGAATGCAACAGTGGTATAATGAGGTGGTAAGATGCAAACACAAACACAGTCAACAATTCCCTTTAACCATCATAGTCATGTAGTAGCATAAGGGTTATCAATCCAAAATGGGAAATTGTCACTCTATGAGAATATGAAACAACAGAAGTCAAGCAAGCAGTAATGAAGGGGTAACACTAACAACCTAAGAAATGCAATGCAGTAAAGTAAATAAAGCAGTAAGCAACAGCTCGACCAAGGACTCGAGTCGAGTGGAACAGAGTACCAGCTCGATCGAGTTTAGGGTCGAGTTGAGAAAAAGCTAAAGGTGACGACTTTAACAAGCTAAAGCGAGAATTAGGGTTCAAGACAGGGTTTTGCAATCAGAGGAAGCTACACTTAATCAATCTTGCTCTTAAAACTCCTTGTATCAAGGCTTCTCTTGATATTGGGCTTCTCAATGCCTAGCTAACCCTTTCCCAAGGTGAAAGCTATCAACCAAGGAATGATCTCAGAAACAGGGGGTTAGCCAGTGAGAATCAAACCTTGGAGGCCATAGGATCATTGCCCAAACTAATCCATCCAACCCCTTAGACCTCTATTTCTAGAGCAAGAGATATTGGAGCTCTTAGTGGATTTTTCCATCCATCACTTCCATGTGGAGAATCGCCTAAGGACATACAAGCCAGGGGTAGTGGTCATGTAGCCTTAAGATTATCCAAAAGAGAGAGAATCTAGATTAAGACCATAAGCAAGAAGGATTAAGCATAAAACCTCTAATCTATCCCATCTCAAACCCTAATGGGTAACTACTCACTACACATGAATGTAAACACAAGCAAATGCAATAAAAGACATCATAAGAAAGAGGAGATGAAATAAACAACTTTTATTGAAATAAGCAAGTGCAAATACAAAAGATTATCCAGGATCTAGGATTCAAGAAGCAAGAGCTTCAAGAACACAAAGATGGGATTAGAGCTCTAAAAAGTAAAAGACAATAAATTAAAAGAAACTAAAACAAAATAATCTAAAGCTTGGTGGTTTTTTCGTGGCTTAGAGCCTTTAAATACAAAGAGGATTAGGTTTAGGGTCAAAGGAAAGTCAAGGGGGAAGCAACATTTTTCGGGTTTGACTTTGACTTCTCAGCTCGATCGAGTTGAAGCTTGGCCGGTCGAGTTGAGGAACTCGACCGGTTGGTCGAGTAGGTGGTCGAGCTGGTCTTCAAGATGGCTTCTCCTTCTTCCTTTGCGTATCCAGTTGAGCTGCGTCCATGCCCAAGTCCTCCATGCTCCTTACGTCCCATATGCTCCAGAATGCTCCAAAAGACCTATTTCAAAGGACCAAACATGCATATGTATGCAAATGCAACCTAAAACTACTATGAATGCATAAGAAGAGAAAAGGAACAAGATATGATGCTAAATGGATGCTAAAACTATGCAAAAGATGCATAAAAGATGTACTAAAACTATGTAAAATGCAAGTACATCACTCCTCCTCCTCCTAACCCTGCTGGAGATGTGAACGCACAACCCCAAGCCGGAGCACCTACAATCGGAGACTATGACTCTGCCGATGCTTTCTTCATGGATAGAAACCCTATCCATCCACCACTTCCTGCAAGGAATGACTATGAGATCAAGCCTCAGATCATAGCATTGGTTAGACAGAACCAATTCAATGGCCTTCCAGCTGAGCATCCTCTTGATCACATAGAAAACTTTGAAGAAATTTGCAGCACTACAAGATCCAATGGAGTCTCTGCTGACTACTTAAGTGCAAGCTCTTTTCATTCTCTCTTGGCGACAAAGCTTCAAGATGGTTGAAGTCTCTGCCAGCTCACTCCATCACCACTTGGGATGAGTACAAGGCCGCTTTCATCAACCACTTCTACACCAAACAGAGATCAATTTCTGTGAGAACAAGATCTCCACTTTCGCCAAGCAACAATGAATCTTTCTATGAGGCGCTAGACGATTCAAGGAGTACATTAGGGACTGCCCTAATCATGGTTTCAATGAGGGAAACCTATGGAATATCTTCTATCGTGGCATAGACCACAAGTACAAGCTTTCATTGGATACTGCAAGCAATGGAAACTTCATGACCAAGACTTGATGAAGCTAAGGTTCTTATTGAGAATCTTGCAGCTAGTGATTGTAACAACTGTCCTGATTATGACCGCTCAAGCCGCACCACTACTAGCTCCCCTGATTCTTTTCAAATGACTGAACTCAAGAACATGATGGCTCAAGTTCTTAAGGGACAGCTCAAGCATATCAATGCAATAGAAGGGATGAGTGATGCTAATGAAGATTCATCAAGAGAATGTATGGGAGATTTCTCTAATGAAGCCAATGAAGAAGATGTGAACTACATTGGAAACTATGGGAACAAGGGATACAATCCAAGCTATCGCCCAAACCCCAACATGTCTTATAGAAACCCCAATGTGGAGAATCCTCAAGACCAAGTGTATCCTCCAAGGTATACCCACAACAACAAAGACCTCCTTACCAATCTCAAGGAAGTCAATTTCAGCCAAGGCAAGGATATGAGCAGAGATCATCATATCCACCCAAGGAGCCATATGCTTCTTCACCAAATCAAGTTCCTCCAACCAACAAGGTGGGAGATTTGAAGGAATCCTCCAACAGATCATGGATGGCCAGAAGAGAAACACTAAAGAGATGTATGAGAAGATGGACACTTTGTTCAGCAATCTCAACACCAAGTATGATGCTGTTGCCACTCATGTGAAGAAACTAGAGACTCAAGTCACCAAACTATGGAAGCTGTTAAGAGACAGGAAGCTGAATCCAAGAAGTCCTTTTGCAACTCAGCCGCCATAGAAGAAAGATTTGAAGACCAAGTTCCAGAATGGATGCTTTCAAAACCTACTGTTGATTGCATGATTTGGCCTGAAGAGAATTACCCAGAGAGAGAGTCCAATCGAGCTAGAAAGAGAAGACTCTTCCCAAAGATTATCCCCAAGACAGATAACTCAGGAAAGTTTGCTGTGCCTTGTATCATCAAAGGTAACATTCTTGAGCAATCTTTGTGTGACACAGGAGCCAATGTGAACATCATGTCTAAGAGGATAGCTGACAAGATAGGCCTCACCAAGATAGACCATCATCCATCTCCATCAACTATGCTGATTCATTCTCACAAACCCCCTATGGCTTTGTGCCTAATGTGATGGTGCAGATTGGAAATTGCTCTATCCCTACTGATTTCAGATTGTGGAAATGAGAGAGAGTAGCCATAGACCTCTCATATTTGGAACCCCTTTCCTGTCTACTGTGGGTGCCATATTTGATTTCCCCAATCAAAGAATCTCTTTCAACAAGGTGAACAAGGGTATGTTCTTCCCTATGTGTTCAACAAAGAACTCTTTTGTTGACATGGTCCAAGAGGAGAAAGTACTTTGAAGCCACCCCAAGAAGGAGAAACTGAAGAAACAATCAAGGAAGATCCCATTCCTAAGCCCAAGCAGCTTGCCAAACAAGCAAGGAGTAAGACTAAGGCCCCTACACCAAAACCGCCCAAGGGATCAACCAAGATTGAAGATGAGGCCAAGCCAAGAAGAAGGTTAGAAAGCCTAGGTCTGGCCGCAACATGAAGCTTCTATTCCCAGAGGAGCTTATTGATGAGAATCTAGAAGGATTCAAGGAGAAAGTGACAAGAACTCTAAAGCTTTTTCCTAAGGCATGTGCCAAGGGACATTCATGGAGAGATTGTCTATCCAGCTGTGAATCACCCACCAGATACTCATTGCAAGGAGAAAAGACTTGGAGGATCAAGGATGCCTCTTGTCTCTATCTTCTCCTAAGTGCCAAGCCTTACAGTCAAGCTAAAGACTTAAAACAAGCGCTGCATGGGAGGCAACCCATGAGGTACTTTTACTTTTCTTTCTTTAATTTTCTTAGTTTTTGTTTTGCTTTTGTGTTTTCTTTGTTTTAAGATAGGATAGAAGGAGAAAAAGGTGTGAAAACACAATCCGCGCCAAACCATTGGCCGCGGACGCGCAAAGAAATTCTGGCCGAGCAATTCCAACCGGGCCGACCGTCACGGTCGAGCCGGGAAGGAATAGCTGCTCGGCCGGATTGATTCTATCGCGTGACAAAAACGTTCGCACGAGCACGCGCACGAACGGGAAGAGAATAGGCCGCGATCGGCCAAAGTGGAACGGACTACCGACCGACCGGTCGATCCGGAAACACGCTCGACCTCGGCCGAATTCTCTCGACCAAACGAATTTTGGCCGACGAAATTGCTCGACCGCGACACAAACCATTGGCCATCGGCCCAAAACTTTTCTAGGCCAAGGTACACAATGGCAAAGACAAAAGGAAATGAGAGTATGAAGAAGAAGAAGGACCCATTCATGGAGCCACCAAAGAAACAAATCAAGCTAGGGAGTAGTAGCTCCAATGCAAGAGCAGCAATGCCAACTTCACCACATTCCATTGATGCAAATCAAGAACATGTGGAGAGTCCAATTGGCCACTGATGTACTTGCATTTTACATAGTTTTAGCACATCTTTTATGCATCTTTTGCATAGTTTTAGCTCCATTTGCATCATATCTTGTTCCTTTTCTCTTCTTATGCATTCATGTTAGTTTTAGGTTGCATTTGCATACATATGCATGTTTGGTCCTTTGAAATAGGTCTTTTGGAGCATTCTGGAGCATATGGGACATGAGGAGCATGGAGGGACTTGGCACATGGAAGCAGCTCAACTGGATACGCAAAGGAAGAAGGGAGAAGCCATCTTGAAGACCAGCTCGACCGTCTACTCGACCAACCGGTCGAGTTCCTCAACTCGACCGGCCAAGCTTCAACTCGATCGAGCTGAGAAGTCAACAGTCAAACCCGAAAAATGTTGCTTCCCCCTTGACTTTCCTTTGACCCTAAACCTAATCCTCTTGTATTTAAAGGCTCTAAGCCACGAAAAAACCACCAAGCTTTAGATTATTTTGTTTTAGTTTCTTTTAATTTATTGTCTTTTACTTTTTAGAGATCTAATCCCATCTTTGTGTTCTTGAAGCTCTTGCTTCTTGAATCCTAGATCCTGGATAATCTCTCTTGTATTTGCACTTGCTTATTTCAATAAAAGTTGTTTATTTCATCTCCTCTTTCTTATGATGTCTCTTTTATTGCATTTGCTTGTGTTTACATTCATGTGTAGTGAGTAGTTACCCATTAGGGTTTGAGATGGGATAGATTAGAGGTTTCATATGCTTAATCCTTCTAGCTTATGGTCTTAATCTAGATTCTCTCTCTTTTGGATAGATCTTAAGGCTACATGACCACTACCCCTGGCTTGTAAGTCCTTAGGCGACTCCCCACACGAAAGTGATGGCATTCGCTGGAAAAGATCCACTAAGAGCTCCAATATCTCTTGCTCTAGACAATAGAGGTCTAAGGGGTTGGATGGATTAGTTTGGGCAATGATCCTATAGCCTCCAAGGTTTGATTCTCACTGGCTAACCCCCTGTTTCTGAGATCATTCCTTGGTTGATAGCCTTCACCTTGGGAAAGGGTTGGCTAGGCATTGAGAAGCCCAATATCAAGAGAAGCCTTGATACAAGGAGTTTTAAGAGCTAGATTGATTAAGTGTAGATTCCTTTGATTGCAAAACCCTGTCTTGAACCCTAATTCTCTCTTTATCTTGTTAAAGTCGTCACCTTTAGCTTTGTTTGTCTCAACTCGTCCCTAAACTCGATCGAGCTGGTACTTTGTCTGACTCGACTCGAGCTCTTGGTCGAGCTGACACTTCACTGCTTTTTTACTTTTATTGCACTGCTTTTCATTTATTTAGGTTGTTAGTGTTACTTCAAATCTATTACTGCTTGCTTGACTTTCCTGTTGTTTCATATTCTCATAGAGTGACAAGTTTCCCATTTTGGATTGATAACCCTTATACTACATGACTATCATGGTTAAAGGGAATTGTTGACTGTGTGTTTTGCACCATCATCATATACCACTGTTGCATTCCACCTCATTCTCATTTCATTCATTCATTCACATCCACAAAAATCCTATCATCAATTTGGCGCCGTTGCCGATTTGGGAATATTTTTGTTGCATTTGAGTTTCAAACACACTTGGACGATCAAGCTATACCACCCCTGTTCTATTGTACTGCTGGGTTTTTGTCTCTTTTTGCAGGTGTATGCGAACTCGATCGAGTCGGTCTACAGAGGACTTGGTCGAGCTAGACTTACAACGGGTAGAAAGAGGGTTCAGAGGTCACAGAGGGTACAAGAGGAACCTGAGGTGCTTGTTGCTGATACAATGGATGTACCAGAGGGGAATGGAAACCCTTTGGGAATGGACTCGGTCGAGCTAGGCAAACTCGACCGATTGGTCAAGGAGATGCTCCAAACCGCCACCAACAGAGACAAGGGATTGTTCCACCACCAGTGCAGAACCACAACTTTGAGATCAAGCTGGGAATGATCAACCTTGTCCAGAACAAGATGTTCCATGGATTGCCAAGTGAAGACCCCATTGACCACCTTGATGAGTTTGATAGGCTTTGTGATTTGACAAAGATCAATGGTGTCTCTGAAGATGCCATCAAGCTGAGACTCTTTCCTATGTCTCTAGCTGACAAAGCTCACCAATGGGAGAAGAGCTTGCCCCATGGCACAATCACCACTTGGGATGAATGCAAGAAGGCCTTTCTTGCTAAGTTTTTCTCCACCGGTCGCACAGCCAAGCTTAGAGGAGAGATATCCAGCTTCATCCAGCGAAACAATGAGACATTCGCAGAGGCTTGGGAGAGGTTCAAAGGCTACACAAGTCAGTGCCCACACCATGGATTCAACAATGAATCCCTACTCTCCACTCTTTATAGAGGATGCTTGCCTAGGTATAGGGAGATGCTAGACACAGCTAGCAATGGGAACTTCCTCAACCAGGATGTAGATGATGGCTGGCAACTTGTGGAGAACATGGCCATATCAACAGAATGCTATGGAGAGCACTATGAAAGTACAGACTGGAGCTCGACCGCGCACTCGATCGAGCTGGACGCTCAGATGAGAAAAGACATGCTTGCACTCAACTCGAAGTTGGACAAACTGATCCTAGCCCAATTCCCTGCCAAGCATGTCAACTATGTCTCAGAACAAACCTTAGTCAAGGACCAGGAAGGGGAGGAGACAACACAAGAAGTTTGCTACATTCAAAATAGACAAGGAAGCTATAGGAATCCTCAACAAGGGAGATACAACAATTATCAAGCCCCCTGGCCGCACCAACAACAAAGTGTTCCACAAGGTTTCAACACAAGGACTACTCATACCCAACCAACTCATGATTGGGATATGAAGGAAATGCTCCAACAACTTTTACAAGGGCAAGCCAAAGGTTCTCTGGAAATGAACAACAAGCTGGTTGAGATACACTCTAAACTAGAGTCATTGACTTCAAGAGTCCAAATCATTGAGTCTTCAAGTGCATCATCCTCTTCACCACAAGAGTATGCCCAAGCAGTTACACTAAGAAGTGGGAGGCAATTCCCGAGTAGAGGTAGCCCACCCCAAATCGCTGTGGACATCGATGACGAGGAAGGGGAGGATTTAGTCGACTATGCTGATAACTCGACCCCGAACTCGATCGAGCTGGAACAAAACCCTGAACCAGAACTCGATCGAGCTGGAGAAACTGAGACTGACAAAGAGCGAACTCCAGCCAACCAGCTAAACCTGTTGCAAAGAAGAAAGACACTCCAGCAGGACCACCACCATACAAGCCCCCTCTGCCCTTTCCAGGAAGGTTCAAGAAACAACTGTTGGAAGCACACAAGGCCAAGTTTGATGAACTAATGAGACAGCTTGAGTTGAAGTTGCCCTTCATCGATCCATGCCTTATCAGAAATTTCTGAAGGATGCTGTTCAGCAAAGAACCAGGGAAGCACAAGGGATGGTAGTGTTGACCCGCGAGTGCAGTGCAATCATTCAGCGGAAGGTCATCTCCGACAAAAAGGAAGATCCGGGGAGTTTCACTTTGCCCTGCATGTTAGGACCCCTATCTTTCAAAAACAGTCTCTGCGATCTAGGATCATCTGTCAGCCTCATGCCTTTGTCTGTAGCGAAGAGACTGGGATATCACAAGTACCAAGCCTGCGGAATCTCACTAGTCTTGGCAGATAGATCGATAAGGTTACCAACTGGGATGCTTGAAGACCTGCCTTTGAGGATAGGGAATGTAGAAATCCCCACAGACTTCATTGTGCTTGAGATGGATGAGGAACCAACAGATCCATTGATTCTAGGAAGGCCATTCCTAGCTACAGCAAGAGCAATGATAGATGTCTGTGAAGGAACAATTGAGTTAAACTTGGGAAAGGACCTGAAGATGAAGTTTGATATCAAGGATACAATGAGGAAACCAACTATAGAAGGTCAGCTCTTTTATGTTGAGGAAATGGATCAGTTGGCAGATGAGCTTCTAGAAGAGTTATCAACAGAGGATCCACTACAAGTTGCTTTGACCAAGGATTCTTCAGAGGGATATGTGAGCTCAGAAACTGATGAGTACAAGAAGCTCCTTGACACCTTCAGACCAGTTCCAAACATTCTGAGCATTGAGGGATTGGACAGGCCAGTTTGCGAAGTCATGGCAGTGAGCTCGATCAAGAACTCGATCGAGTCGAGCTCGAACAAACGAACTCGATCGAGCTGGGTGCTGAGATGCACAAGTCAGTGCCCACATCATGACTTCAACAATGAGTCTTTGCTCTCTACTTTTTATAGAGGATGCTTGGCAAGGTATAGAGAGATGTTAGACACAACCAGCAATGGGAACTTCCTCAATCAAGATGTGGAAGATGGTTGGCAGCTTGTGGAAAATATAGCAAACTCTAATGGGAGTTATGGAGAAGAGTATGATCGCACCAACCGGAGCTCGACCCACCACTGGATCGAGTCGGATGAGAAATTGAGAAAAGATGTCAAATCGTTGAATGAGAAGTTGGATAAGCTTATCTTAGCTCAGTCCACAATGAAGAAGGTCAATTTTGTGTCTGCTGAAGAGATGGAACCAGTCCAAGAAGGGGAGGATACACAATTTGCTGAAGTGTGCTACATGAGCAATGGGCAAGGTCGTTACAACAAAGGCTACTATAATTACAAGTCCAACCCAGCCATGACATACCGAAACACTGATGTTGCTAACCCTCAGGACCAGGTTTATCCTCAACAACAGCAAGCTCGATCGAGTCAAACCCCACAACATGGGTATGGTCCTAAAAAAAACTACCAAGGCCCTCAACGGACTTTTCCTGGTCAGCAAATGCACATACAACCTGGCTTTCCCCACCAACCACCCCAGCCTGCACCTACGCCTGAGAATGAGCTATGTTGAAACAATTGCTTCAAGGTCAAGCTGATGGTGTTGTGGAGACAAGCAAGAAATTGCCTGATATCAACTCCAAGATTGAGAATCTCAACACAAGAGTGTACTCTCTGGAGAATCATGCTTCTTCTGCTGCTGCTGCTGCAAAGCAAGGACAACTACCTGGTAAAGCTGTTCAGAACCCCAAGGAACACTGCAAAGTCATTTTCAGTCAAGAGGGGCTTAATGAAGAAGAAGATCAAGAGAGAGTCATGGAAGAGTTTTGTTTGCTGCTGAATGATGATGAGATTGTTGCTGCTGAGATTCCTGGAGTCCAGAATGATCAACCTGAAGTGCGCTACTCCCATAGCCATTCACACTTCACCAGTTGAACTCGCACAACAAGCTCGATCGGCAGCTCGATCGAGTCGACCTCTAGCTCGACCGAGTCAGAACATCAATCCTCAAACCGATTTTGCTTGATCCTTACCAGCCGGTTGACCATCCTCATCGCCTACTCAGTCAAGGCCATAAGGAAGTGATTCACAAGTTCAGAAGAGACCTCAGTGAGATTGGAATTGAGTTGCCTTCTATGGAAAGCATGAGTGAGGCATTTGAGCAAATGAAGATGATTAAGGATGTTATGGCTAACAGTGATAAGGTCTCAGAGCTTCTGGAGGTGTCTACTCACCAAATCAACCTGCTTACCTCACCTACTTTCTTACCAAAGGTGAAGGATCAAGGGAAGTTCACTCTCCCTTGCACACTTGGGCATATTGAGCTTGACAATGCCTTGGTGGATTCTGGTGCAAGCATCAACCTGATCTCCCTCACAATGGCAGAAAAGCTTGGCATTGCTGGAGCATTGCAGCGCCCTACTACTTCAATCATGTTTGGAGATGCAACTTCCAAGTCTCCTCTTGGTGTGTTCAAGAACTATCACTTGAAAATAGGAGAATGCATCATCCAAACTGACCTCACTGTCATGGAGATGGAAGAAGAGAAGGATCTACCTCTGCTATTGGGAACCCCATTCCTTAGCACAGTTGGCGCTTCAATAGACTTTCACAAGCAAGAAGTGATTCTTCACAAGGTGAATAGTTTGGTGTCTTATCGCTTGCAGCCTAGAGGATCAGACTTTTGTGCCACATTGAAAGCACTCTCTCAGTTCCAAGCCTCCTGAAGTTACAAAGGTTGTGAAGGAAAGGTTGACAAAGAGCCAAAAGTTGTGAGAGATAAGGTTGAGAATGGATCAAAGAGTTGATAAGGGACCAAGGATTGAGAAACCACGCCTTGAGAGGCCAGAGTTGAGAGACCACGATCTGATAGGCCACGAGCTGATAGACTTGTTCAAGCACCATGTGTCCTTGATGAGGAAAGCCTCCAAGCTTTGTTTGATGAGCCACTAGGAAGCGCTCAAAAAGAAGGGGAGGATGCAGCCTCAAAGGCACTTGTGGGAGAGAAAAGAAAGGACCCACCAGCTCAGGTTTCCTCAGCCAAGCCATCTCAGCTCACAATGACCTTGTTTCCCACCAAGTTTGAAAATGGAAAGATTGAGTACAAGATAAGGTACAAAGGGAGATCAAGACCATTCTCTAGAGCCAAGGCCTTGGTTACTTCAGAGCAGTCCAAGGATCCAACCAAACTAAAGGAGCTTCTGTCTCACACTAAAAAAAAGTGATTATTGTTACAAAAAAATTGTGACCAATTGTTTAGTCATAATATTATGACTATTTACATATCATAATGTGACCAAATTATTTGGTTATAAAAACGTAAGCATTATGTTATAATATTGTGATGGAATTAAAGATAACTAATTTTTGTCACAATTTGAATATAAGGTAATAGATGTGGTTACGGTTTTGTGACTGAATCTTGTTACAAAACTATTACAAATTTGGTAACAAAGTTCTGTCACTCATAGTTACAAAATATTTGTAAGTATCTTGTCATATTTAGCTACTATTTTTTTGTAACTGTTAACAGTCACAGATACTGACATAATTGTTACTACTTTGTGACAATATTAAAAAAAAAAAAACATGAATTTAAAAATTCCTTAATTATTATTTTTTATACACTTTTTATTTTCTTGTATTCACTTTCTTATTCTTCCATAATTGTTGTTCTCATCTCTTAAATTCAGAAAACCTGAACGAATCATACATGTTTTTCAAAAGCACATTCTAAAACAAGAAACAAAATGATTACTTGTCTAAGAAAAACAGAGGATAACACAAAAATTCGAATTTGTTATGGGTTATGGTTTAATCACACGTATTTAAAGAGACGTTATAGATTTGTTCTCTCAATTCCATCTCTCTCGATTATTTGCAACTATTCCTCTCATTTCTCTCTTCAGATTCCCAAAAGTGTTAGTTTTTATATATTGTTTATAAAATTTTATATATATATATATATGTTTTTAAATTGTATGTTAAGTAGTGCCGTTTGTTTGTAAATTAAAATTCTACGTTTTTATATCTGATATATAGTTATCAATATTTGGTTATAGATGTTTTCTAATAAATGATAATTTACGTTGTTTAAATTTTAACTGAAGCTGACTTATTTAAATGTGATCTAAATTTTTTGTTCAATTCATGTTCACAGAAAATATGAAACCAGAATCGATCGAACTGGAAAATGATCAAAAGGCAAAGAAAGTACAAGTTGTTCAAGAAACAAGGCAAAAGAAAAAAGTTCAACATGAATTTGATCTAAACAAAACGTTTTGTTAATTAGAAGATGGAGAAGAGTTTAATCCCGAAGATGGATCTAGTCAACAAATGGAGAAAGATAAATAACTGCCACATGATTTTGATCTAAACAAAAAAGGAGTTTTCCATGAGTATGGAGAGATTCATCCCGATAAAGGAATTCGAGAAGGAATACTAGAAATATGGAGAATTCAATTTCCACATTGCTTTTAATCTAAGTTCTTGATTTAGTGTTTTATTTTTTTCTTTCTCATAAGTTATATTTTTCTCATATTCAAAGCTTCACTTCTTATGTTCACGCACATTATTTTGTGGGTTTATGATACGTTTACATGTTTACTGGAGCAGTGGTAAGAAATTTCTTATGTCATGGGTTATGGTATAAATCTTGTTTTGAATGTGTTATGGTTGTTGTTATGGGTACCATACATGTTTTCGTGTGAAATTTGTTATAAATATATAATTTCTTTCTTGTCTTATCATCATGGTTTGTGGTGAGCGTGCACGATGAAGCTTCAATGCAGAATAAAAGGACGTCAAAGATCTTGATAATATTATAGAAAAGCAAGGGTTTTGAAGTTGAGCTTACTCTACAAATATGACTCCTATTCCAAGTAGAATCTCTATTCCAAATAGGACTTTTGTTCCGAGTAGGATTTCTATTTCATTTAGGATCTCTAAATTGTTATTAAAGTATATAATAAAAACTAACATTAATTTAAGTTAATGATGAATCTAATAAATCTCTACGATATATTATTAGCTGCCATATAGTTGCAGATATATATATATATATACATATATAATGAATACATTAGCTAAAGTTTTGTGAATCTTAGCCCTAATTTTTGGCGATATCGTGATAAGTCATTCTACCGCCTTAAAATTTGGCAATAGAGCCAAATATTTGTGAAAACTATCCAATATCAAAACGTGTCAATTTTTTAACCATCTCAATAACCGTTCTCTCCACTTTCCTTTATCAAGATCCTCGCAAATCATATTCTTTTACGGCTTTCACTTTAGTTTCAGAGATTCTCATTAGGGTGTTCTTCACATTTCTGGACTATTAGAATCTAATCTATAAGTCAATTTTAAGGCTTGTCCGGTTTGCTATGTGATCATCTTCCTGTTCGAGTTATTCTCATTTGTTTTCTGTTTTTTATTTGTTTTTTTTTTTTTAACATTGGATTCATGTGTGTATTGTGTAGATATGGAAGAGGCACTTGTGGATCGTTCGGACTTACCCATGCTGCATCCTTCTCGGGAAAATGGAGCTAAATGGTATGTGTATTTTACTTAAAACCAGTTGACTTCTCTACAGATTTATAACTCTTCTGTAAGGTATTATAATCAAACAGGTTTAAGCACCACACACAAGTATCAACTGCTGTAAGAAGGGTTATTCAAAGTTACTTCAAAGGCCCATGGTACTCCTGGAAAAGAGTGCCAACCTTCTTCAGACAAGCATTGTTTAATCTGTTTAAGGTATTCTCGTGATTTCAAAATCAAAAAAGAAAAATTAGACTTCGTGTTATTTAACTTCGTGATTTCATTTCCAGTGTTACTCATTGTTTCTGATATATTTTGTTATCAGGGAAAGTTTAATTGGGATCCTACTATCAATGGTCAAGTTCAAAGTGAGTTTAATAAGCTTGCTGCTTATCGTTTGAGAGGTATGATAAGTCATGTAAAGAGGATTGGAGTCAAACTAGACTGGATTTTGAAAGAGTATTGGACCATCATGGTAGCTTATTGGGCAACACCAAAAGCAAAAGCCAATAGCGAGAAGGCTCGTAATTCTCGATTGTCTGATCGCAGTGGCTTGGGTCCACATTCCCACATATCTGGTTCACCTTCCTATGCCAAAGTTCAAGATGTTCTGGTTTTGTTTGTTTAGTTTATATTTTGTGAAAGACTATTTGCTTCTATGTTTCTTTGATTACGTTTGTAAGATATTTTGTTAAGTAATATCATCATCTGTTTATTTTATTTTATTTTTAGTGCTTTAATTTATAATTTTTTAAAATAAAAAGAAAAACAGGAGTAGTGTGACAAAGTTTATATGGTTTTTTATTTCCAAATTTCAAACGAGTTCCATAGCTAAAAAAACTTCACAAACGAACCTCATATTGTGACGAATATGTGACTATTACTTTGTCACTAACTGTAACGGAATTATGACATTATTTTCCATCACAAATTGTTACGTGTTTGTGACAATAAATTTGTCATGAAATGTGATGTTGTTTCTAACATTATCTTGTCACAATTTGTAACACATTAATAACTAAAATATGGTAACAAATTGTGACAAACATCTAACGAAATTTAGTGTCACCGTTTGTTACATAATTGTGACAATATTGTTTGTCATAAATTGTGTCGGCTTTGTGACTATTTTAATAGTGTAACAATTGGTGACGATTTGTTACTAAAAATTAACGTCAAAACACATTGTGAAAATTTTTGTGACATAACTTGATTTGTGATGATTCTACGCTAACCTTTTACAACTACTAATAACTTTGTCACAATAAGAGTTTTGTGACGGAAAATTTATGCATTGTGACAAACAAAACTGTGAGAATAATCATTTTTTTTGTAGTAGTCCTCACTATCACCCTTGATGGTGGGACTAGCTCAACCAATGCCTAAGAGGTAAAGGTCAAGCTATGGGACCTTAAACAAACTCACTTGGGAGGAAGTCCCGTGACTATCCTTGTACATATTCTTTAATGCAATTTCTATCTAGTGTTTTGTGTCTTAACGTTTCAGGAAGATTAAGTTTAGGTGACAAGAAGCCAGCTCGACCGCCAGCTCGATCGAGCTAGAAACAGAGGTAACTCGATCGAGTTCCACAACTCGACCAAGGTAAATTTTTGAATTTCAAATTCTAACCATTTCCTTGGTCAAGGGGGTGGGTCCCTGATATACCTCTATTTTACATGCTTTTTATGCTATTTTACTATGGTTTTCTAATGGTTTTCTAGTGGATTCTTGTGTTAAAAGGTAGTTTTTATGGATTTATAGTGCAAAGAGTCATTTTAGGTAAAAAGGTGCATTATGGAGCAAAACAGAGATTTGGACTTAAACCAGTTCAATGCCACTGCATCAACTTTGGATGGAGCTAGAAAAAGATCTACTCAATGGATTTCATCAAGACCAGTTCCCTGCGTGCTCTGATTGAGTTAACTTTCCAACGCAAGTGGAACGGCCTCATTTGGATGAGTAGAAAAGGAGTTATAGCCAAAAGAGTGAAGACTGTCCAGCGGCTCTATCGAGAATCAGCGCCAACCGCGCAGAACGGCTGGCCGAGGAACGAATGTTCCGCGCTCGGCCAAAATCATCCGTCCGTCTGAAGTCTCGGCCAAAGTTCGTCACCGGCCGATCGCATCACGACCCGGGAAACATGTCCCGCGGTCGGCCACGCCACAACCGCTCACACCACGCCGCGCACGACCATGCCGCGCGAGCCGGGAAGCAAAGCCTCGCGGCCGCGCAACCATCTCACGTACCACGGCCGATGTTCCGTCCGAGCCGGGAAGACGTCCCGCGTCCGGCCGAGAAACCATCGGCCATTCCATCCCCGTCCGACCACCCGGCCGACCGTGAAATCATCCGGCCACGACCGTTCCGACTCGGCCACGACCCGACTGTCCGGCCGACCGTCCCGACCGACCGTCCGAACGCCGCGGTCGACCCGAAGCCGTTTTTGAAGCCCAATCCGCACAATTCAAGCCCAAAGCCGGCGCCGACCTAGCTAGATTAGGTCTAGCCGCTTTTTCATACTTAGTGCATTATAAATACTTCTTTTTAGCCTTGTAACTCAAGAAGGAGAGAGACCACAATTATACTTTACATCTTTAATAAAGTTTTGCTTGCTTTTACTTTGTTCTTGCTTGTTCTCTTTCTAGAGAGGATTCGAATCTCTGTTCTTATGAATATGAATTCGTGTTCCTTCTCTATGTCTGAGTAGTTTACTTGTTAAGTGATAGGAAGTCAAAGGATAGCATTCATGTATGCTTGATGATTGATCACAATTAGGGTTTTACTTATAATCTCCATCTTTGCTTATACTTAATGCTTGTTGTTAATCTGGCCAATTAGCATATGATTTAGGTTGATTTGAGCCTCGACAGTGCTGTATCATTCGCCTGAACTAGTATTTGGTGGGCAACCTCTTTTAGACTGCGAAAGTTGATTTACTTGTAGGTTGTGAACAATTGAACTTAATCGAACTAATGCTTGATTTAATCACCTAGGGACATACCAAAAGTTTAGCGACTAGGTAGATTAACAAAGGGGTCGGAGCCTCGACAGTGGAATGATCATACCATAGTGTTTCAAGTTCTAGATTGGCACCTAATTGCAGTAACCCTAATTGATTGATTTCATGCTTCTTGAATTGCTTATCTCAAGACTATCCTATTGCTTAGCCCTCTTCTCTTTTTCTTCCTTGTTGAAATCGAGTGCTATAGGCGGTTGTCTTGTAGGAGAGTAGCTGCTCAAGGAGAGGCATGAGATTCCCTGCGTGGATTCTATCTCCTCTGATCTTCTTCCCATCCTTTGTGCGTGAGATGATGGGCTTAATCCCCATGTCAAGGAGCTTCACTTCTCCTTCATTGATCGTACCAGTGGCCTTCCTTGCAAAGAAGGTGTTGGCAAGGGCTTTGTGCACATATCTCAGCACATGACTCCTTATCTGAGCAGCCTTGGATTTTAAAGAAGAGAATCCTTCCTCAGCAATTGTAGCCCACACTCTTTATAGCTCATTCTCCTTGATATCCCATGGGTTCCTTCCCCATAAGCGAAACCAAAAAGGATCTCCAGCTGCCTGAAGGTGATCACCTTCCTTTCTCCTCTTGCCAAGAATGTTATCCATCCCCAGCCTTGGTCCAACTCAGCTCGATCGAGCTCATCATACTTGTGAAACCTCATCGATGCCAAAAACTCACAAGTGAGCTCCTTGTATGACTCCATGCGATGAGAGAAGAACTTGGCCAAGCGCATGTTCTTGAGGACTAGCTCCACATCCTCAAAGATCCCAAGAGCCCTCATTGTGTCATCATGTGGGTACTTGGTCTCCACAAAGTCCATGGAGAAGAGAGCATTGTAGTGCTCTTGGTACATAGGGAGCTCATCCTCCTCTTCCTCTGACTCAGCCTCCTCCATGGGTACATTCTCATTGCTCTCATGCTTACTTCCCTCATCTCTTGTTAACCTCTTCCCCTTCTTCATTTGAGGAGTCATCACTTTCTCCCTTCCAATGTTCACCCCAATCTCGAATTCTCCCAATTCGCTCTCACTGCTGATGGGGTCATTCCTCCTCTTGGTCCTTCTCTCTTCCCTCAACCTCTCAATCTCTTCCTCATCTTCCTTGGTTAGTGTCTTTAGCATTCTCCTTGCTCCTCTCATTATCTCCTCCTTTGTAAAAGCTGCCTTGCTTCCTTCACCTCTCAACATCTTAAACTTGTTGCTTCTTAAAGTTGAGTCCCTGAAATTCACCAAAAACTCAAAGAATTAGAGTTGTAATCATTGGTTCGGTCAACTCGACATTCAGCTCGATCGAGTCAAAAAACTCAAGTGACAAACTCGATTGAGCTAAGTGAAAACAGAGTAAAACCGAACCTACATCAAGTATTAAGAGCTGGAAAGGATGCTAGACTATCAAATCGAACCAAGAACATAAGTAATTGGAACAATAAGCAATTCTAGTGAAGAAAAGCATCCTAACCAATACCAACTCAAATTCAAAGGATTCAAGCACATGCAACAATTTTAATGGCTAAAACAGAGGTGAGGTGAGGCAAATTCACAAGATTATATAACAGGAGAAGATATGAAGGCAATTTCTCAAGAACAAGTCCCAAGGGACACATGCAATCAAAATCAAAGAGAAGACAAGCAATAGAAAGGAATCGAGATTAAGGATTCAGGGGGTTTTAGGGTTCATACCTTGCTTGAATGATGATTGAACTAGAACAGTAGCTAGAACTAAAGCAAATCAAGATGAACAAGGGAGAAATCGAAAAACTTAAGAGAGGATGAGAGATTTTCGGATTTTTCTTATGGTGATGAGAGAGATGGATGATTTTCAGAAAATTTAGAGTGTGGGAGAGAGGGAGAAGTTGTGCGATCGAGTTATGGGGAAGAGGGAGTGTTTGAGATGTGTTGGGATTAAAAGATGAATTAAAGAGGGGACAAAAGGCAAGGGTTTTCTGATCGATTTCAGGAAGTGGGGGACCAAAATCAACTTGTGGGACCCACTCCCTTGACCAAGGAAACGGTTAGAATTTGAAATTCAAAAACTTACCTTGGTCGAGTTGTGGAACTCGATCGAGTTACCTTGTTTCTAGCTCGATCGAGCTGTCGGTCGAGCTGGCTTCTTGTCACCTAAACTTAACTTATTGAAAGGTTAAAGACACAAAAACTAGATAGAAATTGCATAAAGAATATGTACAAGGATAGTCATGGGACTTCCTCCCAAGTGAGCTTGTTTAAGGTCCCATAGCTTGACCTTTACCTCTTAGGCATTGGTTGAGCTAGTCCCACCATCAAGGGTGATAGTGAGGACTTGAGACAGAAGCTCCTTTAGCTTGGTTGGGTCCCTGGACTGCTCTGAAGTGACCAAGGCCTTGGCTCTAGAGAATGGTCTTGATCTCCCCTTGTACCTTATCTTGTACTCAATCTTCCCATTTTCAAACTTGGTGGGGAACAAGGTCATTGTGAGCTGAGATGGCTTGGCTGAGGAGGGGCTGATGGGTTCTTTCTTTTCTCTCCCACAAGTGCCTTAGAGGCTGCATCCTCCCCTTCTTTTAGAGCCTTCCTAGTGGCTCATCAAACAAAGCTTGGAGGCTTTCTTCATCAAGCACACAAGGGCTTGAACAAGCCTATCAGCTCGTGGTCTCTATCAGAACGTGGTCTCTCAACTCTAGCCTCTCAAGACGTGGCTTCTCAATCCTTGGTCCCTTATCAACTCTTTGTCCTATCTCAACCTTATCTCTCACAACTCTTGGTTCTTTGTCAACCTTTCCTTCACAACCTTTGCAACTTAGAGTCTTGGAACTGGAGGAGTGCTTTCAATTGTGGCACAAAAGTCTGAACCTCTAGGCTGCAAGCGATATGACACCAAACTATTCACCTTGTGAAGAATCACTTCTTGCTTGTGAAAGTCTATTGAAGCGCCAACTGTGCTAAGGAATGGGGTTCCCAATAGCAAGGTAGATCCTTCTCTTCTTCCATCTCCATGACAGTAAGATCAGTTTGGATGATGCATTCTCCAATTTTCAAGTGATAGTTCTTGAACACACCAAGAGGAGACTTAGAAGTTGCATCTCCAAACATGATTGAAGTAGTAGGGCGCTGCAAGCTCCAGCAATGCCTAGCTTTTCTGCCATTGAGAGGAGATAGATTGATGCTTGCTCCAGAATCCACCAAGGCATTGTCAAGCTCAAGATGCCCAAGTGTGCAAGGGAGAGTGAATTTCCCTTGATCCTTCACCTTTGGTAAGAAAGTGGTGAAGTAAGCAGGTTGAACTGATGAGTAGACTCCTTCAGACCTCTGAAACTTTATCACTGTTGGCCATAAATCCTTGACCATTTGCATTTGATCAAATGCCTCACTCATGCTTTCCATAGGAGGCAACTCAATTCCAATCCCACTGAGATCTCTTCTGAACTTGTGAATCACTTCCTTGTGACCTTGACTAAGTAGGCGAGACGAGGAAGGGCAACCGGTTGGTAAGGATCAAGCAAAATCGGTTTGACAGGAGGTCGGACTCGATCGAGCTAGAGTTGACTCGATCGAGCTGCCGATCGAGCTTGTTGTGCGAGCTCAACTGGTGAAGTGTGAATGGCCACAGTAGGTGCACTTCTGGTTGATCAATCTGGACTCCAGGAGCCTCAGCAGCAACAATCTCATCATCATTCAGCAGTAAACAAAACTCTTCAATGACTCTCTCTTGATCCTCTTCTTCAAAGTCCTTCTTGAGTGAAGATGACCTTGCACTGTTCCTTGGGGTTCTGAATAGCTTTACCAGGTAGTTGTCCTTGCTTTGTAGCAGCAGCAACAGAAGAAGCATGATTCTCCAGAGAGTAAACTCTTGTGTTGAGATTCTCAATCTTGGAGTTGATATTCAGCTAGCTTCTTGCTTGTATCCACAACACCATCAGCTTGCCCTTGAAGCAATTGTTTCAGCATAGCTCATTCTCAGGTAGGTGCAGGCTGGGGTGGTTGGTGGGGAAAGCCAGGTGGTATGTGCATTTGCTGACCAGGAAAAGTCCCTTGAGGGCCTTGGTAGTTGTTTTTTGACCATACCCATGTTGTGGGGTTGACTCGATCGAGCTTGCTGTTGTTGAGGATAGACCTGGTCCTGAGGGTTAGCAACATCAGTGTTGCGGTATGACATGGCTGGGTTGGACTTGTAATTATAGTATCCTTTGTTGTAACCCTTGCCCATTGCTCATGTAGCACACCTCAGCAAATTGTGTATCCTCCCCTTCTTGGACTGGTTCCATCTCCTCAGCAGACACAAAGTTGACTTTCTTCATTGTGGACTGAGCTAGGATCAGCTTATCCAACTTCTCATTCAATGCCTTAACATCTTTTCTCAATTTCTCATGACTCGATCGAGTGGTGGGTCGAGCTCCGGTTGGTGCGATCATACTCTTCTCCATAACTCCCATTAGAGTTTGCTATA